CACTGAATAGGTAGCATAGTAGGTTTAACCAGAAACTAGTGAATAAAGGACAGGAACAAAGGAGAAACTTCAGCTTTCATTTTCTTCCCCCAGGAAAGAAGATGAGATCATGTTTATTTTAGAATTAAAATTTTTTCTTGCTCTATTAAACTATGCTTGGCAAATGAAAATCCCATATATTTTATATGTACTATGTGATGTTTTAATATTTGTATACAGTGCGAAATTATTACCAAATTAAGCTAATTAACATCACATATTTATCTTTTTTTGTGTGTAAGAGCATTTATGATCTAGTCTCTTGTTCAAATACACATTAACTATAGCCACCATGTTGTATATTAGGTTTCTAATGCTCATTCATCTCATAGCTGAAGGTTTGAACTCTTTGACCTATTCCTCTTTTCTCTACCTTCCAACCCCTAAAAACCACTGTAAATCTTAATTCTGTTTTAGATTGCACTTATAAGTGATATCATGCAGCACTTATCTTTCTAGGTATGGATTATTTTATTTAGTGTAATGTCCTCAAGATCTATCCATGTTGATACAAATTGGATTATCTCCTTTGTAAATGCTGAATAGTAGTCTACTGTGTGTATGTGTATCACATTTTCCTTTTCCATTCATCCACCAACAGGTTTTAGGTTGTTTCCACATTTTGACTATTGTAAATAATGCTGTAATAATGAGAGTCAGATATCTCGATGATGTACTGATTTAATTTCCTTTGGACATATACCCAACAGAATTGTTGAATCATTTTGTAGTCCTATTTCTAATGTTTCGAGGAACCTCCATACTGTTTTCCATAGTGATGGTACCAATTTATATTCCCACCAACAAGGTTTTCCTTTTCTCCATATTCTTGCTAACACTTGTTATCTTTTGAATTTTTTGATAAGTCATTCTGACAGACTTGAGATGGTATCTCATTGTTCTTTTGACTTTTTATTTCCCTTATGATTAATACTATTGAACATCTTTTCATATATCTGTTAGCAATTTGTAGGTTGTCTTTGGAACTTTGTCTATTTAAGTCCTTTGCCCATATTTTAATTGGGTTATTTGTATTTTACTATTGCATTGCATGAGTTTCTTATACATTTTGGATATTAACTCCTTTTTTAATATATGGTTAAAAAAATATTTTCTCCCATTCTGTAGGATGTCTTTTCATTTTGTTGATTATTTCTTTCACTGTACAAACACTTCTTAGTTTATTGTCTCACTTGTCCATTTTTTGCTTTTGTTGCCTGTACTTTGGAGTCAAATCTAAAAAAATTCATTGCCAATATCAATGTCAAGCAGCTTTTCTTCCATGTTTTCTTCTAGGAGATTTTTGGCTTCAGGTTTTAAGTCTTTAATCACTTTGAATTGACTTCTGTGTATGGTATAAGAGAAGATCCAATTTCATTTTCTTTTTATGTGAATATAAAGTTTTTCCACACCATTTATTGAAGAGTCTATAATTTCCACATTGTGTATTCTTGACACTTTTGTAGAAAATTAGATGACTGGAGATAAGCATTTATTTCTTAGCTCTCTTTTCTTTTTGTCCATGTGTCTATTTTTATGCCAGTACCACAGTGTTGTTATAGCTTTTTAATATAATTTGAAATCAGGAAATGTGATACTTTCCAGTTTTGTTCTTGCTCAAGACTGCTGTAGTTCTTTGGGATGCATTTGTGTGTGTGTGTGGTTTCATATGAGTTTTAAATTTTTGACTTCTGTGAAAAACACTATTGAAAATTTCATAGGGATTATCTGAATTTGTAATAGTGTGGAAATTTTAACACCACTAATTTTCCAGTATATGAACAAATGTGTCTTCTACAATTTCTTTCATTCAGTTTTCATCATACAGATCTTTTACCTCAGTAGTTCAACTAATATTATATTTTTTTCTGAAGCCATCGAGAATATAGGATTCTTTGGTTTCTTTTATGAATGGTTCATTATTAGTTTATGGAAGCACAACAGATTTTTGTATGCCGTTTTTGTATCCTACAACTTGACTGAATTTATTAGTTCTAAGATTTTTTTTGTGTGTGTATCTTCTTATTCTCATTTGTTTTTGGTGGAAATCTTCAGGATTTTTTTTATACAAAAGAACGTGTCATGTATAAACAGCCAATTTAAGATCTTCCTTTCAATCTGAATGCCTTTTCTTTTTCCTAACTAATTCTTCTGGCTAAGACTTCCAGTAATCTGGAACAGAAGTATGAATACTGTCTAGTTTCTGATTTAAAGGTAAATATTTAAGTTTTCACTGTTGAGTATGATATTAGCTATGGGCTTATCCAGTATGGCCTTTATTACATTGAGGTACATTTATTCTATACCTAATTTGTTGAAGGTTTTTGTTATGAAACTATGTTGAATATTAAATGTTCTCTTTTTCTGTTTTGTACTGGGGATTGAACCCAGGGGCACTTTACCACTGAGCTATACCCTCAGCCCTTATTATTTTTTGAGATGGGATCTCACAAAATTGTCGAGACTGGCCTTGAATTTGCAATACTCTTACCTCAGTTTTCCCAGTTGCTAGGATTACAAGTATGTGCCATTATGCTTCTGAATGCTCTTTCTGTATTTACTGACATAATTATACAGTTTTTTCTTTCATTATCTTAATGTGGTGCATCACATTCACTGATTTGCATAGGTTGAACCATCTTCCTGTTTTACAAGCCTGAACACACTTAAACCATAAAGTTATAATAAATATAGAAGTTTTCCTCAGTGTTTTAAAAGTTACTAAAATACTTCCAGGACTTTGTATTATAAAATTGACCAGCTATCCTTTCTTAAAGAGATCCTCAGTGTCCCATAATAATATCATGATTTTATAAGGTACTTTATAGTTCATAGAGTTTATATGCATTATCTCATTCCATCTTCTTTTGTATTTGTCATAATCCAGATCCTCAGCAGAAAGGTGCCTTGCACTGACTAGATCTCAGAAAGTCACATTAATAATTCTCAAAGTATTAACCATTTCCTGATTTATACAGTCTAGTTTACAAATGTGATCATGCTAATTTACTATTTCAAATTTTTTAACAATTTATCATTTCCTTAAGATAAAGTCATTTTATTTATTTTTGAGGGGGGGAGGGGAGAGAAGAGAAAGAGAGAGAATTTTTTAATATTTATTTTTCAGTTTTCGGTGGACACAACATCTTTATTTTTTTATTTTTATGTGGTGCCGAGGATCGAACCCAGTGCCCCGTGCATGCCATGCGAGCGCGTTACCGCTTGAGCCACATCCCCAGCCCAAGATAAAGTCATTTTAGAGTTTTCCATGACAATCCAGACTAAGTTATAACCCTTATATGCACTTGCATTTATTCTATACCTAATTTGTTGAAGTTCCTGTACTTCTTCCTTCACATCAATCACACTTATCTTTTAAAATAGCTGTCTTTCCTGATAGATTTGAACTCCACATATTGGATATTGTCCTAGGTGATTAACAAATATTTCTAAGAGTTATAGTCCTAATTATGTTATATTTCTCAGTTGTAAACCAGAAAGACGAACCCACTGTGGTTAGGCTATAAATTTCTAGTTCTACAGAGCTAAGGTTTTGAATACAAGGATTTCACCCTAAGTACTACCTTGTCATATCTTTTGACAAGTAATAATTTACCCTATCCTTAGGGACACCCCTACCATAACAGTATGTTTTCAAACTTCAAAAAGGCGATCCATCTTCATTAATACCTAAATTTATAAACAGGGTGTTTCACTTTACCATATCCAATTACCTTTCACAGATTTTATCAACTTGCAGTTGTGCCAAGTTTTTTCACAGGCCGGTCCTTCCATTTTAGGAGGCTTCAATTAACTAGATTTAGTTGTGTCATGGCTAAATGGATGTGACTAGAAAAGGGTAGCATATAGCAATCTCTATGTAAATTATTTCTCTATTGGTTAACATTTATGTTTGAAATTGGAAAATCAATTAAAAGGAACTTAAATTAATTTCCAAGAACCATCCATTACAAAAAGGGGGTCAGGTGTCACTATTTTTGATTCCAAGATAGCAACAAAACTAAATCCTATTTCAAAACAGCAAATGGGAACAGAAGTCAATAGGCTTTGCTTTTTGTCTTTTATTTTTAAAACACTACACATTTACTAAGTGCACTGCAGAATTTTAAATGCTTTTAAAAGCAATGGGCATATAAGTTTAAGGTAACTTGAGGAAGCAATGTAAATCTTCATTTTCTACTGTAGCAAAGATTCCTTCTATACATAAATATAGAAACCCCATTAGCGTCCAGAACAATGCCTAGCCCAAAATGAGCATTTAATACTTATTTGTTGAACAAATGAAAGATACTCGAGTTTGCGAGCTGGGAAGTGACTGTCGCCCTGAAGCAGGTATGCAATCTTTTCAGCAGGCTAGCTGGCATTTTCTTATCTCCTCACCCTCAGGGTGGCCAAAACGGGGTCCCTATATCCTTACACTCCTCAGGTAACCCGCTAATTTCTCACACAGCTGCAGCTGTTTCTGAGGACTTTCTGGCTCAGCTGAGTGTGGGCAGCAAGCAGACCTGGACTCAGCCCTCTGGCTCCAACACCCCAAACAAAGAGTCTGGGCCCTTGCTTTTCCAAACCGTGATAAACAACCAACCTGCTCGCCCTCGCCTCCCCATGCAGACAGACGCCTCGGTGCCAATACCAGCTCCGCCTGACACCGTGAGAAAAGAGAAACAGCAAGTCACCACCGCTAGGAGCGGGAGCGAGGCGAACGCGCCACGCACAGAGCTGCGCCCCCAGGTGCCCGTCTTTCCCGCGTGCTCCGTCGTCCGACGCCTCACGCGCGAGGTTGCGGGGGCCGCGGCGCAAGGGCAGCCCCGGGCGCGTGCGCGCGTAAAGGGAGGGGGCACCGCGCGCCAGCAGGTGGGCGCGTCCTCCCGCGCGCGTGCGCGCACACTCTTTCTCACGTTCCCGGTGCGCCTCGTCCCCTCCCCGCCGAGAGCGCGCGCCTCCCGCCCTCGCGCCGGGTCCCGCTCAGTCTGTCAGCCGCACACTCCCTAGAGCTCCTGCCAGGGCCGTCGCCTCGGCCGCGGCTCTCCAGCCCGGCGGCTCAGCCTTGGCCTCTCGGCGCCCTGTCTCAGATCTCCTCCCGCTTCACCACTACCCTTCCTTTCCCGCCCTTCTGACCCACCCACCCCACTGAGAGAGAGCCTGGATACGAAGCAGGCGGGCTTGAGAAGGGGGTTGGAAAAATGGAGGTGCCGCGCCTGGATCATGCCCTCAACAGCCCCACCAGCCCCTGTGAGGAGGTGATCAAAAACCTTAGCCTGGAGGCCATTCAGCTGTGCGACCGGGACGGTAAGAGCGGCCGGGACCGAGAGGAGAGGGGCCGAGCCCGCGCCAAGGCTTGCGGCCGCCCGGGCCCCGCCGACGTCGCCCGTTCGGGCGGCAGGGTCTTTTGTTGTCCCCCAGGGTGCTAATAAATGCAGGTGCGAGGTCCCCTCCTTCCCCTCTCACCCCAGAAACAAAAGGACCCCAGGGCTTGCGTCTTGGCGCGGAAAGTCGCCCTGGTCCACGGCGTGGGTCGCCGCCTTCGCCTGCCTGGCCCGGGGAGGGCGCCGTTGGCGCCCGCGGCTCCTGCCGGGACCAGGCGTTTCCGATCTTTGCCGCAGTCCGGATTTCCCGGGTCCGTTGGCACCGAGGGAAAATGCCCTTTGGGGGTTTCTGTCACTTCCATCAGGCACGCAAACAGTAGTTAGCATTCCCTGCCTAGAAACTTACAGACAATGCTTTTGGAAGCCCCCCATCCTCAGACTCCCTAAATTAAGTCCATTTATCCTCTCAAATTGGGGTGAGAGTGACAGTTTTTTAGTGAAGGGGCGAGGGTGGGGTGGGTTGGAAATCCCAAGCATTTCAGCACCAAGGACAGGCACTGGCTTCAAGGTTCAGGGCTGTGATTCAGACTGTCAAAAAATGTCTGTAAAGGAATTGGCCTAATATAGCTTCTGTGATTCAGATTATGTGCGAGCTAAGCACCATTGTTTGCCGATATTGTATTGTTTATTCTATTGTTAAAGTTGGCAATCTCCTAAAGAAGGAAATTGGACACAGGTCTGAGCGTTAAGGGGATAAACTAGTACTGTGTGCAGTGTGGGTTACCGGGCATCTGTGTTAGTTGGATTAGCTGGAGAGTCAGTGCATTTGCAATAATGTGGAATAAAACTTCATTTGTAAAGAAGTCATTTAATTAGTGTTTGGTTGGCCAAACAATTGTAAAATTCTACATCTGGCAACAGAAAACCAATTTACAGATTGTCAAGAGGACTCTGAATTCTTTGGACTATAAATGAAATTAATGTTTAACTATATAGAGAGCTAATGATTGTAAAACATTTTTAAACCAAAGTTATGTAGAGATACCAATATGCTCCCAGTAAGATCATAAAATTTTATTAGTGTAGGCCAAATAGGGAGCAGAAATCTTGTTTTCAAAGTCATTTAAATGGTCTTAAAGTTGTTTAGGTGTTGCTGTTTGGTATATTTAGGTTAAGTAAACACCAAAGTTTAGTTTACTTCTGTTAATATCTACTAATTTTGGAACCAAAATTCAAACCAATGACAGTTTGAATAATTTCTGAAATAGGTATAGTATAATAAATATGTATTCTTACCAAGGCTACTTATATTTCCTTTATTCATGGATGGTTAAGTGTGTATATTTAGCTCATCTAAAAATCTTTTTGGAATGCCTTATATAAGTTTGTGTGATTAGACTAAAGGTTATTTTAAATATATCACATAGGAAGTTATTTGAGTTTTAATTTATACTTTCATGAAGTGACTTTGTAATGCTACCATTTTAATTTGCAAATATTTTAATTTTCTTAGATTGGTTTGAGAGGAAATGAAGAATCAAATAAGAAGTAGATGTCAGTAGTTGGAAGTGGGTAATTCATTGTTGTTCCTCAGATCGAAGTAATCTCGATATTTAAAGTGAATTAATCATGTTTCAAAGATATTAGGGAAAATAAAGTTTAGGGGCTTTTTAAATGAAGTTTACAGCGAGTTAATGTAGAGTGCAAAAATTAATGCTACATTTATTGTGGTCTTTTCTAGAGTAGTAGCTATTTTGTTCTGGTAATATTTTGTAGTTGTTTCTGTTCACATTGTGAATTTTGCAAAACGAGCAAATTATGTAACATTTAATTGGGGATATTTGCAATAAGCAGTTTCTATGAAAATTACTATTTGAAGACCTCTGATTGATTTATTAGAGACTAAGCAGGCTTCAGTAGGTAAAATAGCTTATACCAATGAGTACAACAAGCTAACTATTCTATTAGAAGATTCATAAAAATTTGGAATGACTAGTGTGGGCAGTTGTTAAATGGTTAACTTTTTTTTTCTTTATGATCCTACCTTAATGTATCAATTCCAAAAATATTAAATTGGCTCGATGGGAATTATTTAGAGGGGATAATGTAGTTGTTTTTGAAAAATAGTTTGTAAAGTATTGCATTAAATTTGTCAATCAGACCTTATTTAGCATCATTTTACATTGAGAAATTTTCAGCTGGGTGGTATTTTGTTCCTTTTGCTTCGTTCACTTTCCTTCCTCTCAGGTCTCCTTATTTTACTTTTGCCTTAAGCACATAAGTATATCTTCTGCCACACACTTGCCTTTCTACACTATATAGTTATAAGTGTGTGGCAGAAGACATACTTATGTGCTTAAGTATATAATAAGCGTTATATTTTCATAATTTTATGATCATTGAAATAGATTTTTCTCATTTATTCTTTTCTCATTTTACTCCACTGTTAATTTGATAATGAAAAAAATAGAACATCAATTCCTTAAAAGTATAATAAAGTGTAACAGTTGAAAGTATAGTATGATTGTTAAATGTACATTCCTTTATCCTCTCCACTCATACATGTTTTAAATTTTATAATGTTTTGCATATTGTATGAACTAAAAGCTATAGCATCTAGGAACATAACTGTATGTCTTTCTTATGTTCCCTTGGCTCTTCTATTTTGTATTTTTAATTGTTACTTGCCTATTTTCCTGTACATTGATGTTTACATTATTAGCATCAATTCACAATGTTTCTTTTTTCCTAGCCTATAAAGATATTTAGTAGTCTTGGAAGAATATAAATTAGAGTTCAAGTGGTCATGTAATTGGATTTTTAATTAAGCAAGAGGGTTCTTATAAACACACAAACACATTATGGGTAGTCTTTCTTTTGGTTGATAGTATTTGGTCCCTGCCCAGGTGTGAAGTTACTTGAAGTTCAAATAAGGATTCTGAATAGATTTCTATTAGGAAATATTTAAGATGCACTGTAGATTTAGGGGCTCATATAAGTCTGTATTGGAAATAGGAGACTATGTTTGTTTCTCCATCTCTGCTGTGCTGAAATATACTCAGATTGCAAACATGATATGATTTCATTATGACTTCTCAAAAAAATGGGAGGAAAAAATAATTTTTCACTTGTTAGCATCAGTAATATGGGAACTCATTTCCAGGTCATTTCTTTTCTTCTTGTAGAAATTTCAGATGCTCGTTGACCTGATGGGAATAAATTTTAAAGAAATTACACAGAAGCTGACAGATTTAACTTTCTTTGTTTCTAACAATAGTTCTGTGAAGAAAAAGAAAAAAACAGTTTTTTCCTTTTTATATGTTTAAAAAATAGATTTCTTCAAATGTGGACTTTATCATACCTATTTAAATTATAAATCTGTTGAACCTCGTTATTTATGCTCATGCATGTGTGAATTAAACAAATTTTGACTCAAAACAAAGTAATCCACATGCTGGGAAGCACAGTGCCTATTAGATAATCCTTGATAACATTTTCTGAAACAAACATCTAGGAAAAGTACCCATACTCTTTAATATCTTTATTACAATAATGTAATTACTCAGTCTCACTGACATGCTGTGGGGGTATGTGTGTATAATAATACCATAACAAATATGACTTTGGTTAGAATATTGATTCCATAGCTGTCCAACCGTAGGCAAGTGACTTAACATTTTTAACAAAGTGGGCATAGTAATGTCAGTTGTATAGAAGTGTTGAAATAATAAAATGAAGTATATAGTATACAAATAGAGTAATAATTATTGTAAATGAAATATTATTCTCCAAATATGTTATTGAATTAAACTGCTTTATCTCTCTTTTTTTTGCTAATGTATTAGTCTATGTTGTTTTTCATAATTTCAGTTGTGTATTGTTATTTAGGAAATCTTCTACATTATGAGTAATTAATGCAAACTAAATTATGTATTTTAAAAGAACAGTAAATTTAAAAATCACAGTTAAGTAGTCTTATCCCTTGATTTTATCTTACCATCTCATCAATAATATTTGTTAGCCTTAGCTCTAAAATATGTTTTCATATTCTAATTCAAATCTTTTTGTTTTCTTTTCTTGTGCCTTATGACCTTAATACCTATTTTGAGTAGGTGTTTGCATAAGAGCCCTTCTTTGTCTTCCTTTTCAGTACTTTTTAAAATATTTTTTCTAAGGATAGCTCTGTATGAGGTCATATGACCTCTGTATTCATTTCTTTTACTCTGGTATGACTATGAAGATGCTGCAAATTCTCATTAGTGAATATGGAAAAAAACAAAAATAAGAACTTAAAAGAAACTAAAAATTGAAACTCATCAGAATTATGTTAAACCAATTCATATTCTTGGTACAGATTCTCATTCATTCCCCTGGAAGACCAAGAAGTTATTACAGTAAAAGTTTCATCAAAGGATATGTGGCCAGACTCCCTCCAGTGGTAGAATGACTGATGTGTCATAAGTAGTAACACTGGCAATTTGCTCTATTGCCCAGGTAGGCTGGTCAGAAATTCACTCTATAAAGAACAGTATCTACACAATGTCCCAGACTACTTGGTTTTATCTCCACTAGTATTTCCACCTTGTGTATGCCCAATCTTGATTTTTCACTCTGATGTAAATAAACTTTTCCTCTTTTGAATTGTATCCTGGACTTCAGTGTTAGCAACAGTTATATTGCTTATTGCAGCAAGCATGATCCTTCTAGTTTATGATTTCCCTTCTTTGTCCTTAGTAAATGCATAATTTAAGTTTTGCCTTGTAGAATATGCCTCTTTCTTGGATTTATTTTCCATTATTGTTAAATTTCTCTGTAAAAGTCTTTTGTCTGTCTTTTATTATTTAAATCCTGACATGACTACTTGAAAACGCATGCCTCATGCCTTAACTGTTTAAAATATTTTGTTATTACCAGACAGTAGTTAAATATTTACTGAGCAGGTAATGTTTCATACACATACATTTGAGAAGTAAAATTAGCGTT